TGATCAAAGTAGGTAAATAAAAAATAATTGCCCCAAAACAAAAATAAAATAAAAAAATGCATAGCAAACAAACAAGAGTAATATATTTGTTGATCTATTTGTAATTCGAGTAATGCAAATGATTGGTCATTGATTCAGGAAAGATATAAATGTCATCAAAGTCAAAATATATAAACTTTATTGTGTTATTGTCTACCTAGTAGATTATATAAGTCTCATATGTTAATGATATCTCAGCTCTCAAAGACAAGTAAATATGCATTTACTACCACAAACAACTATAGTTCACAAAGAATGACAACACCCAAGCTTAACCCGCTTGGCTGAGGACTGATCTCCCGGCCATAGGACAAGGAGACCAGGACCCCCATGCAGGGTGACCAAGGGGTAGCTGCAGAAGTGGAGATGGGGTGGATGTGGGATGCAAAAGACATGCAAAAGAGAGAGATAGGGATATCGTAGGTATTTATAGCATTTGGAATAGGAATGGATTGTCAGGAGCGATTGCAAATGGGAAACTTTGGTTGTTGTCATCCCTCCCGGACTTTTGTTATAAACTCCATTTCACTAGGAATGACAACACCCAAGATGAAAGTATTATGGAGCTAAACTGTGGCTTAGCCCGTTTGGCTGAGGGCTGACCTCCCAGCATTAGGACAAGGAGACCAGGACCCCCAAAAGAATCAAGCGGGACTCCACACCACCAATGCAGAACTATGAAGCATGGAGGAAGTGAGAAGAATTTGTGGTGTGAACTGTGAGTCATCGCTGAAGTTGGATAGCAACTGTGGGAATGTTTGTTTAGGGTTACTGTATGTAAAGAAGGAAGGCTTCCAAAGACTTATGCAATTTGCTTGTTAAAATAAATAGGCATGAGCAGCAAGGAGGGAGTCTTGAGTTGGAAGAAACGTTCGCAATAGCTCCGGATAGCTGCGAGAACTTTGTAAATGGGAAAGGAAGTCACTGGTATTATTAAATTTGCTAAAATGGCGGTGTTATCTGAATGGATAAGGGCCCGAGTTTTCAATTGCACCCCGAAAAACAGCAATGGAAATTGGAGACTCTTACTGTGAATAGAATGAGGGACGGAAGTAAACGGCAACATCTTGGCCTTCTATAGCCATTGAATTTGATAAGAGTCCCCTGGGCAAATGGAGCGAGTGTGTAATGCTGAGGCATATAAACCTGTAGACATGTAGCCTCTTGGTATCCAAGGCAGAATGAAAGGAATGAACCCGGGGCCAAATTGGATGCCAGGGATAGAGACACGAATGAGTCAGGGACACAGGTAGGACTTACCTTAACAACAAAGTTATCAGGTGAAAATAATATCAAATTGAAATAATTGAAATATAATATCAAATAAAAGAAAGAAAATGAAAATG